GTTCCAAGCCATTAACAAATCTTAGAGGAGTTCAAAGGTTTTCAAGGGAGAGAGAGAGTTCTTCAAGGGTAAGTTCTCAAACTCTTCTCCATTAATTTCTAGCCAACTTTAAGCTTGGATTTATGGATGTAAATTTGTGGTTCTTGAGGAAGATGTGTTGTAATAAGGGTGTGTGAGTTTTATGTTGGTTTTGTGAGTTATGAGGTTAGTTTAATGTGGTATGATTATGCTTGATTTAAGTTTGCTTATTTCCGGGTAGAGGAAAAATTTTCGGTTACTTTGAACGCGAAAATAAGAAACCTAGAGTGAGATTTTTCAATGTTTCAAAGCTTGAACTTATAGCTCTCGATGTTTTGAACATTTTTTATGACTATGACAAAACCCAATTTTAACTCTAAAAGCAAGTTTGAAGCCAGTTTGTAAAAATGGATGGGCTGTCAAACACAGTTTCGGAAATAGAAAAAAAGGGGCGATTGCTACAGCATTGCTACAGCAATCCTACAACATTTTAAAAGAAGATTTGCTGCAGCAATCCTACAGCATTTTAAAAGAGATTGCTACAGCAATCCTAAAACCTTTTCAAAAAGATTGCTACAGCAATATTAGAAGATTGCTACAGCAATTTTATAGCCTTTTTAAAATGATTGCTACAGCCTTATTAAATGATTGCTACAACATTGCTATAGCAAAAGAAAAAAAATAGCAGCCACTGTTTTCAGCCAAACAAGGCCTTTAAAGGCTGAATTTTAACTTTATCCAAAAACGACAATTTTAGATCTCGACGAGTCGAAGAATTGTTGTGAAGAACAGATTTTCAAAATCTCTAAGATGCAGTGAAATGCAGATTTCAGAAACTGCACAATTTTAACAAAACAAAACTAAAACAATGACGTTTTTAACAAAAGGTTATCAAAGAATCCAATATGTGATTTCAGTAAAATAATATGGTTTTATACCTCACTTTAATGAGGAATAACTATGAAGAACGATTTAAAAAAAAAGGGTTTCTACAACATAGCTTCACGGTGGTTTACAAGTCAACCGTAAAACGACTTGGGGAATAGTTTTCAAAAGTCGATATTCGAAAAGAGATTTTACAATGGGATTTTAGTGCTTGTAACTAAATGAGTGAGTTATCGTTTTATAAAAAATTGAATGATAGTTCTTTTAAAAGCTTAATAGTTTTCAAGCAAAACATCCTGACGGGCACTTACAAGCCCAACACGATAGGTCCTTAGAATTTTGAGGATTTGATGTGGGTCCAACACCCGCATTAAATTAAGAGACTCCGTTAGAGTTTAAATTTCAACGGCCTAAGAGCTAGAATGTCGTGAATAAGTTTCTAGACCGAATTGGGCCTTAATATTATAATGAGTCCAATGAGGAAAAATTATGGAGAATAAGTTACTAGATTAGGTAAATGATTTTCAACCTAGACATAAGTATGCTAAGGGCAATTAAGGAAAATAAGATGTT